CCTTGACAACTTCAGTCTTATCTTCATTTATCATGATGCTCCTTAGTGGTCCATTGGTGAAGACTTTTGTTTTCTGTATGCTGAGGTGTAATCCTGCTGTAACCCTATTGTTAAATTCTCTTCAGCAAAATTTAACAGAACCTTCTTATCTTTCCAACTTTCACATTCCAATCATCAGTAATTATCAGTGCATCTTAAATGCATTTTGGTCAATTTCAGACTGCAGAAATTGGTTAAAAAATCTTTCATTTTCTCACCTTTGGCATTAGTGTTTGGTGAGTAACTGATTAATAGCCTTATTAACTGGTCTCCCTTTTGTGGGAAAATGGATATTATCCTATCACTTACAGTGTTTTACATCAAGATAGGTTTTGAAATGTTCTTCTCAACAGTGAATGGGATGCCATTCCTCTCCGCCATTCCTGACTTAGACATCAGTCCATTTCACCTCATTAATACCTAGAAATTCAGCTTTTTATATTCTATTTTGTTTTTTACTTCCAATTTTCATAATTCATACATTCCAAATCCAATTTTTAATGGGCAGGTGTAGGTGTTTCTTCTCATTTTGAGTCGGGCCTCCTCAAGAAATGAAGTTCCTGAAAGCTTTGCTCCACCCCCAGAATATCGTGTAACACTGTCAAATTGACTTACTAGTCCCAGAGACTTCTGTAGGCTTAGTATTTTTTTTTACGTACATAATCATGTAAGGATCATTGAAAAGCCACTCGGTTTTTTTCTTTATCTCTCTCTAATCTTTGTCCTTTCATTTCTCTTACTAGCCTTATTGCACCGGTTAAACATTCAGTTAATATTGAAAAAGGTGCTAGATGCAGATATCACTGCCTTGTTTCCAACGTTATAAGGAGCATGCTCAATATTTCATCCTAAGGTATGATAGTTACCTAGAGTTTTTCATAGAGATTTCATTTTTACACCTAGTTCGCTGAGATTTTTATCATAAAAGAATAATGAATGTTACAAAATTTGTCCTTCGATTAAGATGACATTAGACCCGGTTGACTAGAGAAGCAAATCCAGTACACTCATATATGTGTAAGAAAGAGATTCATATCAAGAAGTAGTTATATATCAGTAAACACCACAGCCCAGTCCAACTCGAGCCTAAGTCCAATGCTAGTCCATACATCCCTCTTCAGACTCATGCAGTTACTTGCAATGATGCAAAATGCAGCAAGATCGCAGGCTGGTGTTTGAAAAGTGTCGTGGATCCAATGCCAGTGGAGGAATCGCAGGGCTCTGGCAGGTCTGAGTGGCTCACCTTCTTATGAGAAGGCCACGCCCACAAGGAGTCGCTGCCATCAGGTTGTGATCTGACTGACAGGTTGGATCCACCCCTACACATCTATATCTTCAAGCAGACATGAAACTGTGTAACTACTACAGATGATCATTTCATTTTTCTCTTTTAAATTACACCAATCTTGTATTCTTGGAATAACCCACAGCTGGCCATAGCAAATTATTCTTTTCATGTTGTTGCTTTAATTAAAATGTATATTTTACCAATGATACTTGTCCCAGGGTTCATGATGAATGTTGGGGTGCCATGCTCTTTTCTTGTAATGTCTTTCTTAGCTTATGCTGCCTTCAGGAAACAGGCTACTTAGTGTTCCTTCTCTGTTTTCTGAAATAGAAGCTATGTGGTTGATCGCATTTTTTTTCTTGTGTGTTTGTTAGAATTCTCCAATGAAGTCATTTAGGGCTTAAGTTTGCTTTATTGGGAGCATCTATAAATCTGTTCAGGTCTTAAACGTTTTCTTGGGTCAGATTGGGTATGTTTTATCTTAAAAGGAATTTATTCATGTCAGCTAAGTGCTCAATGAGTATTTCCTCATTATCAACTTCTCATATCTAGAATTTTTAGTAACATCCCCCGTTTAATACTTGATATTGTCCATTTGTATCACATCTCTTATTTCTTGGTCAGTGCAGCCAAAGAGTTATCATTTTTATTAAAAATTTCAAAGCATTGGTATTTGGTTCTATAACAGTAGTTGTTCTATCGTTTCCTCATTTCCTAAGCAACTTTCCCCACTGCTTTCGATCCCATCTTGTCTTGTACTTAAGCCTAATTTTCTGATCCCCCACCCCCAGCGTTTTAAGACAGTATCTTCGATCCTTGATTTCAAACCTTTCTTCTTTTTTAATATCTTTAAAGCTACAGGGTTCCTTCTAAGAATGACTTTGATAAGATATGGGTTCCTTAGCATTGATTGTAGTACCAGTGCTTGCTTCCTTGGTAATTTCTCCTTCCACCTGTTGGTCAGAAAACGCCATTCTTTTCTTTCCTTGCCATTTCCTGACAGTCATGGCGGGACTGCGGAAGACCACGTCTTGGTGGTATCGGTGTGTGACAGACAGTTCACATGATGTCCTAGAGCAGGGGTCCTCAAACTACGGCCCGCGGGCCACATGCGGCCCCCCAAGGACATTTATCCAGCCCGCTGAGTGTTTTTACCCCGTTTTGCTTTTTACTTCAAAATAAGCTATGTGCTACTAACTCTCCAGACCTTCACTGGAACCTAGGGGCAAAGAGCAAAGATCCGCCAACTAACTGGCTAGCTGCAAAACTCAGCCCCACACCCTGCATAGCTGCTCGGGCTCCTTGTGCCCAGTGTCTACCCGCAGGCCCACAAGGCTGGGAGGCATCTCCACCGATCCTAACCTAGCCGGCAGATGACGACATGGTCACTGGGAGGTAAGTTCCGCAAAGCGCCTGCACAGGATTGCCATCAGGCCGCTGCATCCCCTCACGGCCACCGAGAGTCGGTGTACCCTTTCTGCAAGTGACCAGTGCGGCCCCCACCCCACTGGGCTCCGGGCTGGGGTCTGTGATTCGACGGTGAATGTTGCCCACGGCCAATGATCAGCCGTCAGAAATAAGTTCCACGCAACCACCCCACCCACTGTGCGCACCCAGGCTTGTGCGCGTGGCCAAACCATCGTGTGCAGGCGCCGAAGGGCTGCGCAGCTGCCATTGCTCACTCTGCTGCCAAGGGGAACAGCCTGTTACTGGAATCCACCATCTCGTGGGGAAGGCCCTTGCCTGGGCTCCATGGTCCAGGCCTTCCTCATCCACACCCTGCGGGCCCCAATGACGAGGACACAGGCTTTTGCCAAGTGCTCTACTCCTGTGTCTTTGGTGCTGAGAAGTCACCTGATGACCCAAGGCCAAACGGGCAAGAGGGACAGACACCTCCGCAAGGAGCAGATCTTGGCCGTTGCCAGACAGGTGGAGTCTGGCCGTTCATCGGTGGACCTGCAGCCTCCGTCATCCTCAGATGAACCAACGTCCCGGCATGATGCCCCACATGGGGCCTTCCGCCTGGCAGCAGGGGACCCTTTCCGGGAGCCCCGGACCATGGTGTGGCTGGGCATCCTCTCCTTAGGCTTTGTGCTGGTCCTGGATGCCCATGAGAACCTGCTTCTGGCTGAGTACCCTTCGACTGCTAGCACACCTCCTCTCTGACCACCTCCACCTGCTGGCCCCTGGCACCAACCTTCTGCTATGGGTGGACCGCATCGAGGCCATCCTCACCCGCTTCCTGCACCATGGTCAGCTGCTCTTCCTCAATGACCAGTTTGTCTAGGGCCTGGAGGAGCTCAGCACTGCCTGGCCCCTCTGACCCGCTCCCTGGAGAAGGGCTACCCGAGAGGGTGGGGAGGGAGGACAGAGGCCTGGCACAGTCAGATGAAGCGCGGCCTCTGCCTCCCGCTCAGCCTGCACCCAGCTCTGACGTGCTGCCCCACACAGGACAAATGGACGGGCCAGGGATCCAGAAACACAGCGCAGCCTGGGCCCAGAGCAGGGGCATGACTGATTCCGACCCATGGCGAGCCCACCCCGCTGCTCCACTCACCTCTCCCCTTTCTGACCTGCCAACCTGCCCCCGACAGCGGCTGGGGCCAGGGCAGCGAGGGGGTTCTGCTCTGCACACTGCCCCATCGCCTTCTCAAACCCATGGGCGCGCCAGTGCGCCTGGGGGCGCTGTGCCTCCCACATAGACAGGCTCTGACTTGGCATGCCCCGTGGCAACAGCAACCAGGATGGTTGTCAGCGAGGCCAGCTCGGCGCCAGGTCCCGCATGCCTCCGTGGGAGGCTTTTGTTGTTTCTTAGGTTCTGACCCATGTCTCCAGAAAATCCTGGCTTCCCCAACCTAAGCACCCCCACCCCCACCCCCGTCTGCACCAGTCAGGTGGGTGCAAGCAGCCTGGCCTCGGCATTGTTGGCATTCTCATTTTGAGTGAAAAACTCGGCCTGTGTGATCTCACCCTCATTTCCACAAGTCTAAGTAATGCAGGTCTACCGCTGAGAGAGCGGGAGAAAGATGAGGCGGTCTTCCCATTCGGAGTGTCTCCGAACCTTATGTGGGGTCACAGTGAGTCTGAATGCACCCCTGGTATTGGGTTTGGTGCTGCTTTGTGAGTGAGCGCCTCTCTGGATAGGGGTCTGAATAAACTCCTTGTTGCCTTCACCTCTCAAAAAAAAAAAGTTATGTGCAGTGTGCATAGGAATTGGTTCATAGTTGTTTTTTTAAACTATATAGTCCGGCCTTCCAATAGGTCTGAGGGGCAGTGAACTGGCCCCGTTTAAAAAGTTTGAGGACCCCTGTCCTAGAGCAATTCCCTGCAAATGCAGAAGAGAATGCAAACATGGAGAAGGGCACATTGACTGAGGAAGTCATTTCGCAGACAGGGAAGGAGGGTCACTACAATCTTCATGGAATGATGGGACCGCGTTGTTGGGGGAAATGATGCAGTTCAGTCAACTGCTGTATGATGTAAACTGGTAACAAAAGATCATGTCCCTGAGCACAACATTCCAGGTTGAAGAGTGTGCTTGGGTTGGTAGCTTTGGCTTGGCTTTGTATCCTTCCAGCAACTGAACATGTCACAGGACGGGCATCTTCAGGACGGGCTTTGAGTGGATCAGGGTTCGCTCTTACCTTGTTCCTCTCTGCAGCGGCGGGGAGGCCTGGGCTCAAGGCTCTGGGTCCCGTTTAACGTTGAGTTCGGATCGGGCAAGCACGATGTGCACTCGCCTTCAAGAAGACGTCTTGCATCCCCTGCACACACCCGACCCCAGCTCGGTTAACCCCACAGACCAACCGTGCAACCGAGCGCTCGCGCAGGCAGGCCGGCTCCCACGGGAGCCGCCGGTGGGTTCGAACTGCCCAGGGCCTCCGGGCGGCACGAGCCGGCACAGCCTCCGTTAGGAATTCTCCCAGCCGCCAACTGGTGAGGCGGGCGGGCGGCCGAGTTCTCCCAGCCGTTGCCTTCCTTCAGGGCCGGCCGCCGCGCTCCTCCACCTTCACACGGCGCCTCCCGGGCCCCAAAATGAGCACCGGCCTGCCTGCGGACGCGGGGCCCGCGGCGTCTGCGAGCGCGGAGGAACACCGCGCGTCGCGGGAGGAGGACCGCACGTCGCGGGAGGAGGAGGGCACGTCGCGGGAGGAAGACCGCACGTCGCGGG